AAGAAGGCAATAATTAAGGGAATAAAATGAAAATCTGTAACATACACAGAAAACAAATAGCAAAATGGCAGAAGTTCTTATCAGTAAAAATTTTAAACGTAAATGAATTTAACTGACTAGTAAAAAAACAGTGATTGGCAAGTGGATTTTAAAAATGATTCAAATATATGCTGTCTTCAAGAGGCTCACTTTAGCTCTGATAACACTAATGTGTTGCAAGTGAAAAACAGAAAAAGATAGTTCATCAAAATAATGACCAAAATAGGCTGGTGAGCCTGAGTTACTAACAGACAAAATAGGTTTTAAGCCAAAAACCATTAGAAGAGATAAAGAAGACTATTTATGTATTGATAAAATAGTCAATTCATCAAGAAAATGTAACAAGGATAAAAATATATGCACCAAACAAGAGCCCCAAACTATATGAAGCGAGCATTGACAAAATTGAAGGGAGAAAGAGAGTTCTACAATATGAGCTGGAGACCTGAATACTCCATTTTTAATAATGTGTAGAACACCTAGTCAGAGATCAGTAAAAAGATAGAGGACTTAAAGTGTACTATAAACCAACTAGACCTAACAGACACATAAAGAACATGCCACACATCAACAGCAGAAAACACATTTTTCTCAAGTGCACACGGAACATTCTCCAGGATAAACTATATGTTAGGTCACAAAACAAGTCTTAATACATTTGAAAGGACTGAAGTAATACAAAGCATCATCTCTGCCCCTATGAAATGAATCCAGAAATCAATAAGAGAAGTAAAGCTGAAACATTTATAAGTATTTGAAAAACTTCTTAATTGACAGATTTTTAAAAGTATATATTTATGCTTTATCACATGACTTTTTTATATATGTATACATTGTAAAATGGCTAAATTGAGTTAATTAACATATGCATTAACTCACATACTTATCATTTACATGCAGAGAGAACACATGTTGTCTGCTCTCTTAGCAATTTTCAAATATATGATGCATTGCTATTACTATACAGTTAACCCTGGAACAACATGGGTTTGAGCTGCATGGATCCACTTAAAGGTGGATTTTTTTCAATAAATACAGTTGACCCTCCGTATCCGTGGGTTCCACATTTGCAACCAAGTGAGGACAGAAAAGACGGTATTTGCAGGATGCAAAACCTGCAGATATAAAGGGCCAACATTTGGGGTATGTAGGTTTTACAAGGCTGACTGCCACACTTGAGTATGTGTGGATTGTGGTATACAAGGAGGGTCCTGGAAGCAGTCCTCTACATATACTGAGAAACAACAGATATCACCATATTATACAATAAATATCTTGTAATTATTCCTCCTGTATGACTGACATTTCGCATCCTTTGACCAATATCTTCCCAATCCCTCTGTATCCTCTAAGAACCACCATTCTACTCTCTTCTATGCATTTACCTTTTATAAATGTCACATATAAATGAGATCATGCTGGTTTTGTCTTTTTGTGCCTGGCTTATTTCATGTAGTATAATGTTCTCCAATTCCATCCATATTGTCACAAATGACAGAATTTCTTTCTTCTTAAAGGCTGTGTAGTATTCTATTGTGTTTATATAGTAACATTTTCTTTATGCATTTATCTGTTGGTAGACACTTAGGTTGATTTTAGAATCTTGGCTACTGAAAATAATGCTGTAATGAACATGGAGTGCAGATATGTCTTCAACATACTGATTTAATTTCCTTTGGATATATACTCAGAAGTGGAATTGCCAAATCATGTTCTATTAATGTTTTGAGGAAACTTCATGCTGTTTTCCACAATAGCTATACTAATCTACGTTCCCAGCAACAGTGTACAAGGCTTCCCTTTTCTCTTCATCTTTGCCAACATATAATCTTTTTGATAATAGCTATCCTAACAAAAGTGAAGTGATACTTCATTGTGCATTTTCTTGATGACTAGTGATGTTGAGCATTTTTTCATATACCTTTTGGCCATCCAAATGTCCTTTTGAGAAATGTTTGTCTTCTTTTGAGAAATATCCATTCAGGTTTCTTGTTCATTTTCTAATCAGATTATTTGTTTTCTTACTATTGAGTTGTTTGAATCCCTCATATATTTTTGATATCAACCCATTATTGGATGTATAGTTTGCGAATATTTTCTCCTGTTCCATAGGTTGTCTCTACACTCTGTTGATTATCTTCTTCGCTGTGCAGAAGCTTTTTAGTTTGATGTAATCCCATTTATCTATTTTTGCTTTTGTTGCCAGTGCTTTTAGAATTCATATTTAAAAAATTCATCGCCCAGGCCAATGTCATGGAGCTTTCTCCTTGTGTTTTCTTATAGGAGCTTTACAGTTTCAGTTCTTATGTTTAAGTCTTTAATCCATTTTTAGTTGATTTTTATATCTGGTGTGAGTAAGGGTCTAATTTCATTCTTCTGTATGTGGATATCCAGTTTTCCCAACACTTTTTATTGAAGAGACTGTCCTTTCCCCATTGTGTGTTCTTTGTTGAAAGTCAATGGGCTGTAAAAGCACGGATTTATTTCTGGGCTATTTTGTTCCACTGGTCTATATATGTTTTTGTGCCACTGCCATGCTGTTTCGATTACTATAGCTTTAAAAAACTGCTAGAACTAATAAACAGCTTCAGTACAGTTGCAGGATAAAAAATCAACACACTAAAATCAGTAGCATTGTTGTATATTAACAATAATATATTTTAAAAAGAAATTAAGAAAAAAATTTACAATGGCTAGAGAAATACTTAGGAATAAGTTTAACTAAGGAAGTGAAATATCTGTACACTGAAAACTATAAAACACTGGTGACAAAAACTGGAGAAGTTTTTATAAAAAGATAAAAAGATAGTCCATGTTCATGAATTGGAAGAATTAATATTGTTAAAATGTCCACACTCCACTCCCCAAAGCAATTAAAGATTCAATGCAATCCCTAACAAAATTCCAATAACATTTTTCACAGTATTAAAAAAAAAAAAAAAAACCCTTAATTTCTTATGGAAACACAAAAGACCCCAAGTAACCAAAGCAATCTTGAGCAAAAACCACAAAGCTGGAAAAATATCACACTGCTTGAATTCAACATGCGTGGAAATTAAACCATACACTCTTGACCACCATTGGATCAATAAATCCCAAGGGAAACAGCAAATCCCTTAAGGAAGCTCCAACCTGAGCCACAGGGTCCAGGTTACACCTGTACTTCTAGCATCTTGTAACATCTGTACTTCTAACATCGTGTACTTCTAGTCTCCAGGACAGAGACAGGAAGTTTCCATTGTATAAGCTGCCTGGTTAGTGGTACTTTGTTGTGGAGGCCTGAGCCAGCCAGGACAGATCTCAAGTGCTCAGATAGGCTCTGGTCTCTCCTTGCCCTCCATTAGATTATCCCTGTCTGTGTTAGCTCCCTTCTGAGACTACCCGTCTCTTGTCCCTGAAAAATGGCAGGACCACATCCTGCTGCTTCACTCAGTTCACACCAAAGCCCCAGAATTAAAGCCTGATTCTGATTAGTCTGACTTGAGCAAAACATTCACAGTTGAACTAAACCCTTTCTTCAAAGGGTTCCAGGCTCGACCCCTTCCTCCCCTGGAGATGGAACCCAAATCCATTCCACTGCATGACCCGAGAGCAGGAGCAGGAGGAATCCCCCAAAAGAAGTCAGGGGCTGCCAGGAGTCGGATTCGTGGAGGCCAGGCAGGCACCAAGAGGGCACACGTCCACTGCTGTGCAGGAAGGTACATTCACAAAAAGGCAGGAATCTTGACTGAGGTACCACAACTGCATTCACGTTGCAATTTAAAGACCACTTGGGACATGGAATTCCAGGGAGGCCACCCAGGTCTGCCAACCACATTCCCCTCTTTCTTCCTGGTAACTAAATCAGCATTCAGCTGTCAGCTATGGAAGGAAAACGGTGACTGATTATTCCAGTTCTCTTCCGTTCCTAGCTTAACTGATTGACCTGAGTTGGGTGGAGGTCTTGGGTTTGAGGCCTCCCCACAGGTCTGTGGAGAAGAGGTTTGGATATCAGCAGGTCCATGTGCGTCTCTGAGAGGAGGGCATCCCCCCACCAGACGGGCGAGGCAGCAGGTGGCTACCTGGCTCTGAGCTCTGAAGCCCAGCCTGAGTGCTGAGGTCCTCCTGTGGCCGTCATAAAAACAGGCCGAGGCCAGACGAGGACAACAGTAAAGAAAACTGCATGCAAGACTCCACAGCCAGCAAGGGCTTTTGACCTTTAACCTCACAGACATACATGCACCTGAGTCAATGGCAGCCGCCCACTCCCCCGTCCAAGTTCACCCGGAGGGACTCCACAGAGGCTTCTGGAATCAGCTTAGGAACTGAGGAAACAGCATTTCCGCTGACTCCTTTCATTCTTTTCTCCATTACAGAAACTTTGCTTCTTTATATGCTTTCGAATATTCACTTTGCAACCTTTATTTAAAATGGGGTGACCCAAAAAGGAGTACCTCTAAGTTACACCAAAGTGACCGAGAAAAACAGAGCCAGAGGGAGGAAACTGGTGTTGAGTGCATCGTACCAGGCGTGGATTTTCTAACCAGGCATTTGAGGTGTTCTGTCGGTTGAACCCTCAGGACATAGAGGGCTGACTCTGACAGTATCCCAGAAGCACCTTGCTCTCTGGCTTTGGAATTTCAAACGCTGCTTATCCCGGAAATGCACAGAGCAGTGTGTACATTTGAAAAATGTTGTGTTGTGCTTTTCAGCAAATGTAGAAATTGTAGCGCAGAAAGAAAATAAAATCTCAGGACTCCAAACTCACTAAGACAAAGGGAGAAGCCAAGCTTTGGAACTGAGCCACACAAAACTGCCTGTCATTTTTGTACCTTCAAAGATAAAAGGCCACGTCCCTCCCTGGGGGGCCTCCTTCACAATTTGTTCCCAAGGAAATTCCTTGTGGGCCCCAAGATCTTTACCCTAAAACAGTTCTGTTGAATTTCACCCCCACAATGTAAATTACCAGGCTATCTTCACAGGTACAGGAGAAAGACGGACCAGGAGCCATCCCTCTGCCCACCTGAGACAAATGCCTATCAGTGCAGATCCACCGGGTGAGACAATGTGTAATTGACTATTCCTCTGCTGCCTCCTTTCATATGTAAAATGCAGATTCAGTGAATGCTGATCAAGGGCTCGAAAGAATACAGCCATTGCCCCTTTCTCCTATCCCCCTAAACTTTTTTCCCCTCTTTCCCCTATTGCCTACTCTTTCCGCATTAAATATCAAAGTCCCCAAACCCTCTTTGGGCAAAGCAGAGATCTCAGATGTTCCTGCGGTTTTGTGTTCCTTTTTCCCAGGCACGTCTTCAGTCTCGGCAAAATAAACCTCTACATTGATTGAGACCTGTCTCGGATACTTTTTGTTTTTGATAGGTTACAACTGTGCCTTATGAGTTGTGCACCAATGGTTCATTTCTAATGTCATCATACTCGCAGCAGGATTGCCCAAGAAGGTGAAAGGGCCTTTGCCCGGGCCTCAAGGGTAACCTGCAATGTTTTGCATTTTTCCAGGAGTTTGGTGGGAATAACTTGGACAGCCTTGTATGGGCCTGGCCTGGCACTGTGCCAGCCGCACCCCTCCCACTGTCTGCCTTAGGAGACATCCCTCCCCCTGCCTGCTTCTGTCCAGGGCTGTCCCTCAGATTCAGAGCTCACAGCAGCTCAGGTGCCACAGCCCTGCCTTAGGAGTGTCAGTGAAAACAGCCAAACTCTGTACAATATTTGGAGATTTATTCCGAGCCAAATGTGAGTGACCATAGCTCCTCACACAGCCCAGGAGGTCCTGAGAACATGTTCCCAAAGTGGTCGGGGCAAAGCTCGGTGTTTATGCATTTTAGGGAGACAGAAGACATCAATCAGCACGTGTGAGGTGTACACTGGTTCAATCCAGAAAGGTGGGACAGCTCAAAGGGCGGGGAGGGCTTTTGGGCCATAGGGGGATTCAAAGATTGTCTGATTGACAATTGGCTGAAACAGTTTATCCAAAGACCTAGAAACAATAGAAGGCAGGGTCTGGGTCAGGACAAGGGGTTGTGGAGACCAAGGTTCTTATCATGCAGATGCAGCCTCCAAGTAACAGGTTTTAGAGAGAACAGATGGTTAGTGTTTCCTATCAGACTGAAAAGATGCCAGACTCTTAAACGATTCTCTCCTGGATCAGGAAAAAGACTTGGAAAGGGAAGGGGGTTCTCTAGAGAATGCAGACATTCCCCATAAGAGGCAGCTTTGCAAGGACATTTTAAAATATGTCAAAGAGGCTGGGCACAGTGGCTCACGCCTGTAACACCAGCACTTTGGGAGGCCAGCGGGGGAGGATCACTTGAGCTCAAGAGTTCAAGAACAGCCTGGGCAACATAGTGAAACCCTGTCTCTACCAAAACTACAAAAACTTAGCCGGCTGTGGTTGTGCACATCCGTGGTCACGACCGCTTGGGAGGCTGAGGTGGGAGAATTGCTTGAGCCCAGGAGGTGGAGGTTGCAGTGAGCCAAGATCGCACCACTGCACTCCAGCCTGGGCGACACAGTGAGACTCCATCTTAAACAATAGATAGATAGATAGATAGATAGATAGATAGATAGATAGATAGATA